TTTAACTGTATAAGTTATGTACACTTGTAAATATAAATTTAATTCAAAGAAACATCGATATTAAAAAATATATATAATAATAAATCCTTCACAATATAGTGTCACTAAAGAGTTTTAAAAATATTCTTTTTATGCATTTGAGATAGTTTCATCAAGTACTATGCTGATGTACTTTATACATATATATATTTTACAGTGCCACCTAAGGTATCTCAGATCCATGTTTTTGCATCAACAAATCAAACACTGCTGTTTGGTTGGAAAAGACCTACCCATGATAATGGTGCCGAGATAACACACTATATTCTACAGCTACAGCACAAAGGAAAACTTGTTGCTGATGGAATTTTAAATGGAACATCTAGAGTCAAGGATAACCATACTGATGGTACTTTGAAAAACCCTCGTAGCAATTACATGTATTTATTTGGTAGCCTGGTCCCAGGTGAAATGTATGCATTTCGGGTAAGGTTATGAATTGGTAAATTTTTGATTATTGTTGCATATTTTTTCTTATTCAAATGCATTTTTATGCATATTTGTTAACTTCTTTAAATTATCAGGAACTGTTTATATGGCTTTTTTTCGTTGTCATTTAACTGTTCATAAAAAACTTTTTGAATAAACATCGTCTTAGTTTCTCTCGCATACAGTTTAAAGTGTATATATAAGTAGATTTCGTTCAACCTTACAATAGTAGAATTAATAGAGACTTTTCGCCGCCATTTTGTTTTTATAAAAGATAAGTAAATAGTTAAGGCCAAAGTTTGTGATAATCCACACACAAACTGACATCACTCTATATTACATCATGATGCGACATTTCTGATTGTCATTCACATGTCTATTTCAAAGAGGTAACTTATTTTTACTGTTTTGTTCATATCTCCAATGCTGGAAAGATCTTAAAAGTAATAAGCAAAAACACCACAGCAAGATTCAAAATAACAATACAATGGTAGAACTTGTGAATAAAGAGTAACATTCGCTCGTCTAATCAGTACGAAGAAACTAACTAGTCAAGTCAGTGGACACTTAGGGTAAGATGATGCATTTGAGCAATGAGTGGGCATAGCTAAAAGAGGGAAGATGCACCTTTCATTAAAGGAGTAATCTTGATCCTTATAGCCTAAAACAAGTTGGAATATTAAAGAATAATTTTATCGTTGATAAAAATGGCCCGGCATGGCCAGGTGGTTAGGGCACTCGACTCGCAATTGGAGGGTTCGAATCCCCGTCCCACCAAACATGCTCGCCGTTTCAGCCGTGGGGGCGTTATAATGTAACGGTCAATTCCACTATTCGTTGGTAAAAGAGTAGACCAAGGGTTGGCGGTGGGTGGTGATGACTAGCTGCCTTCCCTCTAGTCTTACACTGCAAAATTAGGAACGGCTTGTGCAGATAGCCCTCGTGTAGCTTTGCGCGAAATTCAAAACAAACAAACAAACTTTGATAAAAATACCATATTGATCATTTCCTATATCTAGTATTATATCAATACTTATAAACAATATTGTACTAAATAGCTTTACCAAGCTAATGTTGGCCACCACCAGTGGTTATTTCACTTAATAAATGGAAAATTTAGCTTGTAAAATGGTTCCTGAATAAGATGTCCA